GGGGCTGTGGGCTTATTTCCACCACTGGAATGTGAGATTCACCTGCAGTCTGGACTCAGCGCAGTGGGTGTGACCGGCAGAACCTGCAGCTTGTTAAGCCCAGGGACTGTCACCACACCCCCGGCTGCCCAGGGGCTGCACGCCCCTCCTGTCCAGGGCTGAAGGAAGGCGCTGTGGCTCAGCCGCCCCGGGGGGGGGGGGGGGGGGGGGAGGGCAGCTCCACCTGGATCCCAGCAGGAGCGGAGACCAGAGGCGGGACGGAGCTGGCCTGGCGAAGAGCTGGGGGTTGGGTGGCAGAAGCAGAGGAAATGGAACACAGGGTCCAGGGGCAGCGAGGGGCTGAGAGCATCCGCACCCGGGCTGATCCAGCGAGTGGGCTGCGCGCTCTCAGATGTGTCCCCACTTGTCCTTCACTCTGCTCGGCCGCAGGTTCCCCTGACAACTGCTTTCCTGCCGAGCCCAGCCAATGAGAGCCAGGCACGAAGTGCTACACCTCTGCTCTCGCTCACATGCTCCTGTCGCTGCCTGTGTCACCTCCGTGGCCCCTGCTGCTGCCGTGCCCCCTCCGCCGCCGACCTCAGCTCATGGGACAGGCCTGCTGTGTTTCCAGCTCTGCCAGTGGCCCCAGCTCCACTCACATCACCCCTTCCCGTTGTCCCTCCCACCCTACAAGGGCAGAGGCTCTTGCTGTGGCTGTTCTCTGGGGACCCTCACCATCATCTCCTTTTTCAGGGTTTCCCACACTTTTACACCTACTTCCTATGTTCAGTCCCCTCTGCTGAATCTTTCCAGAGGCGTGGACCCTCCTGACGGAGTGACTGAGGTGGTGGAGGCAGAGGTGCAGGCGGGGCTGATCCCTCGGGGGCCTTGGAGACCCTGGGAAGGATGTGGATTTCATTCTAGGTGCAGGGGTGCCCAGGAGGCGGGTCAGCTGGGAGCCATGTGTGCTGAGTGGCGACTGGCTGAAGTGGGGAGCAGTGAGGGGTCCAGGGGGTAGAGGAGGTTAAGGCAGGGGCTCTGGAAACTGGGGAGAAAGAGGGATGTGTGGCCACTTGTCAGCTGAGGGACCGACAGGGCTGGCTGAGTGTGGGCTCTGAGGGGATGGGGGGACCCAGGATGACTCTCAGGTCTGGGCCCCCCTCCCCGTCCCCCACCGATCACCTCCACCATGGCCTCTGTGTCCATCACAGCCTGGTCAGTCTCAGAACTGGCATCCTTATTTCTTCCCTCTTGTGTTTATCCGTTTATGCCTTTGCGCATGACCTGCTTTCCCCACAGTGCAAGCCCCAGGCTTGGCACACAGTGGGCGCTTAATACATGCTTGACGCAGATGGGGGCCCAGGATGCCCACAGGCTGCTCTGCGGGTTCGGCGCCTGCATGCAGCAGGTGCCCAATAAAGGCAGCTCCGTTCTTCCCCTCTTAACCATCCACTCTTCTGTGAGTGCTCCACTACCCCAGACAGGCATTCTGATCTTTGGTTCATCTCTAGAGCATCTGGAGTTTGCCAGTCCTCTGTTGGATGCCGGGGACCCCGACACGAGCAGGACCGTCAACTCTTGTCTCCGTGGACCTCTCCACTTAGAGAGCGTGCTGTTTCCAGCCCAGGAGACCCTCTCCTGTCCTCTGTGTGCACTTCCTGCCGTGTGTTGGGGCCTGTATGAAGCCCACACCCCCTCCCGTCCAACTTCACAAGGCACAGGCTCTTTGCAGTGGAGCCGCATTTAACACAGGGTGCAAGTTCACTTAACACAGTGACGACCCAGTGGGCTGAACGTGTGTTAAAGTTATAAAGCTCTTATATAAAAGGAGAGGGAAGTAAACCCTTCAGGCAACGAGGGTCTCTCAGATCGTTCCCCCACCAACACACACACCATTCTGCTCTGTGGATTTGACAGCTGTTTGAAACCAGAAAGGTCTGAAGACCCCGACGTCTGCCGGCAAGTTTCTCCTGGTCCCTCCTTTGGTCTGCCTCAGTGCTGTTCAGACCACTGTACAGAAGAAGGATATATGAGGTTCCTGCACAGACTGTGGGTGCTCCAGATTATGGGGGATCTTAGGGGTTTTCAAGGGTCCTTTAGATCCCCTATCATTTTTACCTTATGGCCTCACTTTATAATTCAAGTGCCATGGAAAATACGACCTTCCAATCTAGCTTGCCTTATGTTCTGTATAACCATTTCAAGATGGGCTGGCCAGGATGTTAGCAAGGGAGGGGCCATGTCTCATTTGTTAAGTGTTCCCTATCGTGCCTGGCTTGAGGCTGGCTTTGGCTGGGTTTGGTGAAAGTTGTCATGAAGAGTTTGTTGATTGGTGGGGTTGGTTGATGGTGAGATTGGTTGATGGTTGAATTGGTTGATAATAGGATTGGTTGATGGTTGAATTGGTTGATAATAGGGTTGGTTGATGGTGGGGTTGACTGATGGTGGGGTTGGAAGACATATGGTACAGGGTTGGGTAGGTGTGGGTCTGAGGCTAGGGCTGGACTCCCATTTATCAGAAGCTCTAGGCCGACTGTGTGTGCAGAAAACAGGGAAAGATTTCAGCTAGTGTGGCTGGCCAGGTACAGCCCTCACGCCTGGAAGCTTCTACATTGTGCAGTGAACTCTCACGTGAGCCTACTGGAAGCTCCCTACAGCTCTGTGAGTGGAGGAGGTAAACTTTTATTATCTCTCTAAGAGGTATGCGAACAGTGATGTAGATTAAATTCATCTTTTATGGTGAATCAGTGGGGGAGTCAGGGGAGTAGACTTGAGGGCTGTTTCTACCCTAAAACCTTCAGCAAATACCTGTGGAAAACCATCATTCTCAGTAGTACCCTGCTGTTCTCAGAGCCGTGGTTGATGAGACAGTGGAAGTTTCAGGAACGTGATCTCTGTCCTTAAAGAGCCCACCATCTCTCTGGGAGTAAGAAGACTCTCCCGTGAAATGGGACAGCAGTATCAGAGTGGGACGCATACCACTAGGGGGCTGTGAGATGTTTGGGCAGTACAACGATGAACAGGGATGGGTAGAGCTGAGACTTTGGGGTGCGAGGACTCATGTGGAGAACTTGGGCTCAGGGCCAGACTAGGAACGGGACGTCCCAGTGGCAATGGGGTGAAGGTGTCACGGGGGCCAGGCTAGCTCTTGGATACTGACGTGTTGCTCTCCTTCATTTGCTCTCATTTCCATTGATTATTTAAGTTAATTTCAATTAGGTGAGTGCTGCAGAGGCGGACCTTAGTTTCCAAGAACGGTTGATGATCTGTGATGCCCATAAGCTCTGGTAACTGATACTTCCCTACACCTCTAGGCAGAGATCATCGCGATGGTGGGACAGGACTTTTCAGCTGTCTCACGAGACAGCAAAGAAAGGTGACATAGTTGGTATGTTAGTGATTCCTCACCTGGTTTTAGTTCTCCGTTTCTGAAAAGTATCGCTTGAAGTAACGGCACTTCCGAAGAGGTACTGTCTTCCCCTCCCCCAAAGAGTTTGAGAAATGCCAAGTTTGACATAGCTCTCTCTATCTATATATTTACCTGAAGGAGTCTCAGAAGCCTTAAGTTGCTTGTATTCACCAGAAGTCTTTAAAGGCAGATACAGAGTGCAGCTTTTCCGAAACTTATCTAAAACCAGGAGCGTCATTTCCCAGAAGAGCAGTGACAGCATCGCTCAGGAACTAGTGTGAAGCAATACAGTACAGGCAAGTGGCTCTAGGAGTATATTTCCATTTGTCTTCCTCAGACTCGTGATGGCTCAGAGCACCGCTCGGCCTTTCTATCTGCAGATGGAGAACTTTAGGGTCCAGATCTTGGGATGTTGCCGAGAAGCCTGCTGCAGGAACGCACTGGTGGCCCCTCCTGTCTAGGAAGCTTGTTTTCCCGCACAGACAGGGGTTACCCATGAGGGCCCTCCCGCCCCCCCTGTCCAGGGCTGCTGGGTCCAGGCTTCCGCCTCCCCTGCCAGGGATTCAGCCAGGGACTGAAAGTGTTTCTTGACCCCTCATTAAGTTATCAGTTCTCGGAAACCGGCCGGTTGGCTCCCAGATTGTTCCCTGTGACCCACTTACGTTTCCTGGTGGGGCCTCCTGGGCCCCGCGTCCTGGACAACAGCCCTTTTCCGTACCTCAGGTTGCCTCCTTTTGTTCCCAATTAAGTCCCGGGGAACAGGGAAGAAGGCAGTTTACTGGAGGCCGAGGTCCCCGGTGTCCTGGCCAAGGCTGCAGGGACCCTGAGGTCTGGTGCCGGCGCCAGTGCAGAGCGAGCTCCAGGCTGGGTCTTCGATGCTGCGGGGGAGCAGGAACCTCTGAGGGAAGCTGCGCTCCTAGCGTGTGGCTTAGGAAGCACGGGGTTTCTTGGATCCCAGGGTCAGATGTATGTGACCTCGAGAGGCCAGTTTCTGGAGTCCTGAGTTGTGCTGTTAGGTGAGCTGTGGTTGCTGTCACCGTCCTTTGCACCCACTGGACTTACCGCGTATGTTTATGCTCTACTGGGCGTCAGGGATACCAGCAAACTCTTACATTGCTCCGAGCACTTCACATGTGAAAGTTCACTCCTAGGTCGTCAGCTGGGACTTGCACCGGGGCCTATGGGTCAGGCTTTTAAGAGAACCCTGCATACCGGGCGCAGAGGCACGGGGCAGGCGGGCCTCCGGTGCGGGGAGCAGTGGGGGAAGGGAGGAGATGCGGTCGCAGCGCAGGGGCTGGGCGGGTGGAGGGATGTGAGCGATGGGTGGAGCCATTTGGAGCGTCTGAAATGCGCAGAACCAAGGGCCAACACCAAAGGACTGGCCCTCTGGGTGGCAACACCAGGGCGTCAGGGGGAGAGGCAGGCACTGGCGGTCACCACCAAGCCCGGACGGTCTAGTGGCTGCCTCGTGCTCAGCTTTGCATTAGCCCTGGGACCCCTTCCAGCCTGAAGCCCCGCGATCAGGCTCTGGCCACATTAACCACAGGGCCAGTCCCCCTCTAGGGCCTGGACCCCGCGGCGGCTGACTGCCTCCGCTCTGCTTCCCGCACAGCACACGCGCGGACACCAGGTGGCGCTCTCGTCCGTCAGCTACATCGGCTGCTCGCTGTCCGTGCTCTGCCTGACCATCACGCTCGCCACCTTCGCCGTGCTATCGTGAGTCACCTTCTGCTGTCCCCCGGGTCTCCCAAGAGGTTGGGCGGCTTTGTGCAACTGTCAGTGCCACCCCTGCCCACTTCGATTTCCCTTCTGGCACTTGTACTCGGGAGGCGGCAAATGCCGGCCCCTATGTAGAGTCTGCACACGGTGTGTGACAGCTGGACGGCTGTTCCTCGATTACCTTTTGTTTTGAAATCTGGGGCGCAGGGAGGGGGCGCTGGGAAAGAGAGAGGGGAGAGGAGGTGCCGTGGAATTGGAGGGCACCTGGCTTCAGCTAACCTGGAAGGCTCTGGAAAGGTCCCCAGCCCACAAGGCTTTCTGTCCTCTGGCCAGGGGAGAGCCAGAACTGAGGACCCCCCCCCAAAACAGCCAGCTTTGTGGGGCTGGGCTGCAGGAGGCCCCGGGGGTGGGAACACTGGAGGGCCCCTGCCTCCCTGCCGGCTGAAGCCACGTCTGGCCAGAGATTGAGGGCACCCCGCAGCCCCCCAAGTGGAGGCCGGCAGCTCAGTCCATCCGTGGCCCTTTCTGAACTGGGACAGAAAACTAAGATGAGAGCCGTGAGTCTGGGCGGACAGCTGACTGAGCGCTGCTCGCACACTCCCCTCCGAGCTGCTGGGCCTCAGAGGAGGGCTTCCTCCCCACACCTGGATGGGCCTGCTCTCCGGGGACGCTCGGGAGTTTATCTGCCCCTCTTCCTCCACTCCTGGGGTTCCTCCTGGGGGTTCCCAGGTTTGGTTGGCCGGGGGCTGCGGCACCATCAGCAGGGGAGGCTGTCAGCTTCCCCGGCTCCCCCATCCCCGCTGCTGCCCACCCGGGACCCGGGCGCCCTGGGGGGTGGGGGCAGGGGTACACCCTGGACATAGGAGCTTCTGGAGGGATCCGAGCCAGGTGAGAGGAGACCGGCGTGGGTTTGGAGGGACCCCAGCCTACGCTCAGGACGTCCCTTGTTCCCCCGCTATTTGCTCAGCAAGCCAGCCCCACCCACGCGTAGTCAGCTCTGAGGACGCAGCTGCGCCCAAGACAGATAAAAACACACCTGGCTGCGGGGGTCGGGGGGCAGACAACGAGTGAGATACACAGGCTGGAGACACATCTTCACAGCCGTCCGAGCCCTGAGAGCAGTTCAGAGAGGAAGCGGGGCTCCTTCAGGCTCGGGAAGTTCTCTCTAACGGGAGACCTGGGAAGGGATTTCACTGCAGAGGAACGGCTGGTGCAAAGGCCCCGAGGCGGGAGCAGGCTGGGGGTCTTGGATAACCTCCAGGAAAAGGGGGTCTGTGAGCAGGGGAAGGGACGAGCTGAGTCAGGCAAGGATCAGGCCCTGTAGGGCCTGTGGAAGGAGCTGTGTCGTTTCCAAGAGTAATAGGGAGCCATCGAGTGTTCACAGCCGGGAGTGGCAGCATCTGGGCGGGCTTATCAAGCCCTCCTTGGTGGCCTCACCCCTGCCTCTCTGCCCCCAGCTCGGTCAGCACCATCCGGAACCAGCGCTACCACATCCACGCCAACCTGTCCTGTGCCATCCTGGTGGCCCAGGTCGTGTTGCTCATCAGCTTCCACTTCGAGCCGGGCACGGTGAGTGGCCCCCTCGGTCCTGCTGGGTCCACAGCCGGCCTCCCTCCCATCCCCTCCTCCCCCGAACGTCGCCAGGGGTGGCACCTTCTCCTGCTGGCTTCAGTTCAGAATTCAGACCACCGGACAGCCAGGCTATGTTTCCTCTGGGAGAGACAGGGAAGATGACAGGTATGAGTGGCCTCCCCGCTCAGCATCAGTCTCGGTAATGACCATACTTACGGCCCTGACTGCGTGCCGGGCGTCGTGCTGAGGGCTTCCATAGATCCACTCAGTCAGTCCTCATAACAAGCCCACGAGGTGGTGCCGTCGTAACCCGCCTGCTGTAGATGCCAGGTTGAGGCACGAGGGAGTCACAGCCACTTAGCCAGGGTGGCCTGGTGAGCACTGACCAGGTGCTGACCTCGTGCGGTCTTGCTGCCGACACCGCCCTCTATCGCTGCTCTGACCATACACACAGCCGCACCCCCTCTGCCTGCCAAGGGCCGGCGCTCTCTGCAAAGGGTCTGTGAAGACCCAGACCCACCTTTTCTCTACCCTTTGTATCAGGCTGGGGGTTCTCCGGGGGCCTAGGAAGTCTTAGATCTCACAGAAAGTGAAATGCTGAGACCAGATTGACCCAGCCTTGGGTGACGTGGGTTATAAACCTGGTTGAAGGGAAGAAGAAGCAGAGATGTGCTCGCGCTACAACAGGAAGGAAGGGGAACCAAGCAGTGTAAGTCAGTGGTCCTGGGGCGCGATCACGATTGGCTAATGGAAAATGAACTCTTTATCCCACGAAGTGAGGGTCAGCAGGGCGTCTTGTCCTCCCTGCCCAGCAGGGTCCTCAGCCCACCTGCCTGTCCTGGGGCTGCTGCCTAAGGAGAGATCCGCCCTCCTCTGCTCACAGGTTTAGGGGTTCAGCCAAGCATCTAAGAAGTTCCTGGCTGTGCCGTGGACGGATGAGGCCTCTGCACCAGCCTCATTCTCTCCTAGTGGATGCTTTTCAAGCTCCACTGTGGATCATCACACGGGGTTTTCTTAAAATACAGATTTGGGTTCAGCTGGAATTCCTATTTCCATCAGGTTTTCAGGTGATGCTGAGGCTGCCTGTCCAAGCCACACCGTGAGGAGTGAGCCCCCCCGTGTGATGGCAGCAGGAGGGGAAGCGGTCCAGGTGCCCATCATGCAGATGGCGACCCCAGGGACCGGGGGAATCTCCTGTGTGTCTAAAATCCCAGGCAGGGCTCTCAGTGATCCGTCCATTGGATCACCTCTGTGGCAGACAGGACAGGTGACTGTGGTGGCCAGTCTCTGTGTGGGGAGGGGCCGCTCCCCACATGAAAGGGGCAGCTGGTCCTAGAAGACGCAGGGCCACCGGTGCTGGGACTACAGAAATAACAGACGTGTCCCATATTTGTATCTAACAGAGCCTAACGACCAGAAGCACGGCATTTCAGTAACTTGTTCCTTTTTGTTTTTTCCTGAGAATCCACTGATCAGGGGCCTGGGGAGGACAGGACGTGGAGCCCCCATAGAGATGTTTATTCTTGGTTTTCATGTTTGTTTTCTTCCCCAGGCTCCTGGTTCCCTGGCCCTTGTATCCGAGCTTAGGGATGGGTGATGGTGGACTCAGAGAGAGCGTGGGTGGGGGGATCTCCGATTGAGGCTCCGGGGGAATCTGAGCCCACATGGCTGAGCTTGGAGTTGTGGCCAAGACACTAGGAGCAAAAAGGGGGACCAGCAGACCACTGCCGCCTTGGACAGGGGAGAGGAGCGCGCGGTGCTGAGCAGGCCCTGCCCCTGCCTGCTTGTCACACCCAAGGCAGGGGGGCCTTCTGGGTATCAGTGCCCCGAGCAGCCAGAGGGAACAGACATTACAGGTAGTTTGTGCACCCCTGTTCATTACACCTGCTGAGAGTAAAGCCCAGTGAAGCGGCCGTGTCGCTCAGGACTTTTGGCTCCAGGTAGGTAACCAACACCTTGAAATGGAGAACTGAAAATTCCTGAGTCTAGAGGTTTCAGCCACGTCACAGGCTGCTCTCTCTCTGCCCCTCAACTCCCTTCCCCTCACGCGCTCCACTCTGCACGCCTCGCCTCCGGGCCGGGGTGGCTTCCACAGCTCCGGGCTCCTGTTCTTGCGTCCAAAGGAAGGAGGGAAACCGGCTCACCGGCGCCTCCGCCCACCCCAGAACCCACGTCCGGCAGCCCGGCCAGTCACGTGCCCACCCCTGAGCCGACCCTGCTGCAGGGGTGGGGGTGTTTACACTGATTGGCCGGACCGAGTCCCTGCCCTCTCATGAACCAATCGCTGTACCCGGGAGGGGGTGTGGTGCAGTGATTGGCTACTGCCTGAGTCACGTGCCCCGCTCAAATCACTCAGCTGGGAAAGGCAAGACGCGACTCCCCAGGAAGGAAGTGAGGCCACGTGTTTAGAAGGCGCTCCCCAGAAAATGGGTGCAGGGAGGTTGGGACAACAGCACCCACCCACTGCTCACACCCGAGAGAGCTTACCCTCCCTGCCGTTGCTTTGATCCTAGGCCCCGTGCCAGGTGCTGGCCGTGCTCCTGCACTACCTCTTCCTGAGCGTCTTTGCGTGGATGCTGGTGGAAGGGCTGCATCTCTACAGCATGGTGATCAAGGTCTTTGGATCAGAGGACAGCAAACACCGCTACTACTATGGGATAGGATGGGGTAGGTGGGGATGGGATGGGGCAGCTGGGGCAGAGGTGGGTTGTGATTTCATCTTCATGTGAAACGCCTCTAGGAGGCCAGGTGTTCTTCGGGTTGAACTTCCCCTCACTGTTTTTCAGAAAAGTCAGTTTCCGTGGGGAGTGCTTTGGATTTCTCTGTTCTAATGGTCGGCTTCCCTCCTCCCTGGGAAGAATCCCAGAGGCACTGCTCTGGAGCCGGTGCGGGGACAGTGGCCTGCTTCTCTTGGATTGACACCCCGGCTTTAATGCAGGGTATCAGGCAGGGGAGGTGGCCTCTAATCTCACAGTGTATGGGCGCCCTGGGGCGAGGGCAGTCAGGGCCCTGTATTCTCAGCCAGCCACGCCTGGGATGGACCCTGTACACTATGGCTTGTGGTTGGAGGGAGGAAAGGAATTCTGATCTCTCGGTTGCTCTTACGTGGAATAGAGTTTCTGCCCCGTGGCGCTGGGGAGAATGAGAAATGCAGGCAGCCTGCCCCAGGGAGATATTGTGGCTCTAGACTGGCTCCCGGGGGAGGGAGCCTGTCTTGTTGGCCACAGCTGCCTGGAGCGGAGCAGGTTGTAGCCCAGGTGTCCCAGCGTGTCAGGTTTACCCAGACTTGGTAGGTTTTCTTGAATAAGTTTTTCTTAATTTGCTGCATGCCCTTAAGAAAATTTATAGAGACTCTAAGTGGTTGTGTTGTTTTAAAGCTAACTTGCACGAGTTATGGTGGTCCTTCAATCTGGGAGTCACCTCCCCAGTGGCTTGACTTTGTTTAACTTCCTTCTTGCCCATCGTGAGGAGCCCCAGGGCACAGGAGACCCTGCTTCCCGCCAGAGTAGTGGACGCCTGGCATTCTTGCATCTGCCGTAAAGCATTAATGCAGCGTAAGGGACCTGCTACTCGTTTCTAGCTTTCTTGCGATAGATTTAACTTTCACGGTCCTCATGGCGCAGGGAACAGACAAACATTTTACTTTGTGCTTTGAGCTCCTAGCGTGGTTCATTGGGGGGCGTAGTGGAGGTAAGTTATGTGCCCCTCCTGGCTTTCCCGGGAGCCTGGAGAGGCTCACCGGGGCCCACGTGGAGAGAGGAGACACAGCAGCCACCTCCCAACTGCTGTGGCCTCGCAGGGAACTCCCGGTGCTTGCCAGTGATGCCCTGCGTCCCGCCTGTGGGCAGACTGGCCGTCCCTGCCGCGCGTCTCCGCACCTGGACGCCTGCGCTCTGGCTGGGCTCCTCGCAGCAGCAGGAATGTCCTCTCCTCTCCGGTTCCTTCCTGGTGAGCCCAACTCAGGCATGATCGTCTCCTTCCGTCCTGCCGTGACTCCTTGACAGAGGAGGGTCGCTCCTGCCTCCAGCTTCTGACTTCATGGAGTAAAAGGTTTACAGGACAAGTGACCAACCACCTGTAACGGCTGGTTTCTTTACGGGAACGGTCAAATAATTTAGAGATATGAGCGCGCACACACACGTACACACCCCGTAGCCACAGCAGGGACGGTTGAAATGAATGAAAGGTGTGGAGTTGGTCTCTGCTGTGACAGGAGTCGGGTATGTTGGTTCAAGATGGAGGTGTGGGTCATAATCCAATCCAGCCCTGAAGGATCTCTTCTTTCGTCTGCACGGTGTTGGAGAAAAAAAATGAATGATTTGCCAGTACTTAAAAATGGAGAGATTTTGCATAAAATTATAGAGTTCTTTTGAAGGGTGAGGTGATCTGGGAACCCTGAGCTTCCGTTCCTACTTGACAGCATTGGCTGCGACTGTATGGTTTCTGATACCAGCACCTCCCCTGTGGGTGTCTGAGTGTACAGCCTCTGTCAGACGCTCCCTGCAAATGGAGCGCCGGGCTGGGTTCCAGCAGGGCTCTGTCTCCACGTGAGCGTCCCCTTAACTGATTTCCACGGCTCTGAACTGCGTCCTTCCTTCTCATTGGGTTCGACTTGGCTGTGGGCCTAAGTACAGACAGTCTGCAGGCGGCTGGCCTCTCTCTACCTGCAGTTATGAATTAAGAGGGAGCTGGAGGCTGACCCAGGGCCCGGGGGGGCGGGGGGCGGTCACCCTGCAGGGAGGGTCCCCCAGAGAGAGGCCACTTCCCTGGAGATTTTCACCGTGCTCTTACCCTGACCTTCAAACGGTATCATTTTTTGAAACTCAAGGGCTGTGTTTTTGGCTGAGTTGGGATTGGAGGTGTCAGATTTAACAACATACCTGCAGTTTAGCTGTATGTTAGGTCCTATGCTTGAACTTGAAAGGTGAGTGTAATGTAATCTCTGTCCTCAAGGGGTCCATGTGGGAACGGGGAGAGCAGGTGTGTGAGAAAACAGTTGAGCCTTTACACGTCGGTGCAGTAGACATGAATCTCTGACCACAAACAGCAGACGTGAATCTCTGACCACAAACTCAGAAGTGAAAGAAATAATCATAAACTCAGAAGCGAAAGAAATGCAGCTTGCTTTATTTTTCTCTGTTACGACTTCATTTCTTTTGTGAGCGCCCACTCATCTGAGGGTGAAAACGTCATCAGAGTTCATTCTGGAACCCGCCTTTCTCTGAAGTGGCGCTGGCGTCCCAGGGAGGTGACACAGTGCCAAGACCCTGGGACGTGCAGCAGTCAGGGCAGGCTAGGTTATGCTGCTATAACAAGCAGCCTTCAACTCACGTGGGTTGGAAACAGTAGCATTTATCTCCTGAATACGCTGCGTGTCCTCAGCGGGCCGGTGGCAGTGGGAGGGGCTGTGCTCGGGACAGTCCCTCAGGAGCCCGGGGTGATGGAGAAGTTGCTGCCTGGAGCCACTGCTGGATGCTGTGAGAGAGAAGACGACCTGGGTACGGGAAATCAATACTTAGCCGAGAGAGGCATGGGTCAATTCTGTTCACAGCTCACTGCCCAGAAGGAGCCGACAGCTCAACAGCCCCAGGGTGCAGAAGTGCCAGCCGCTGCGTGCCCAGAACGAGGCATCCGGAATGTGGCACGGTGACTTCTACTGGAGGCCGGGCCACTTGTTTCCCAGCGTTGTCATCTCTCTGCCCCTTTTCTGTCGAGGCATCCGCGCCCCTGGGTTGGGTTTCATATTATCCCTCCTCTCTGGGTTAATATTTCACAGCAATGCTCCTTATGGCTGCCCCTCACATCGCCCCTCCCTCCTTCCCTGGATCTTAGGGGCAGCAGCCAGGGAAGCGCCAGTGTGGTCCCTCTGAAAGGTCACCACATTCCAAAGAGAGCACTTCTTGAGCGCCACAAAGTCAACGTCCATAGGACAGGACCAGAGGACCCCCAACCTGCGGAAGCAGGTCAAGTGTCTGCATGGGTTATGGGGTGTGAATTTCAGACGATAGCAACAGTGGAAGAGGCATCAGAGCTAGTTAATAAAGAGTGGAGATCATTATACAGAGACGGGCTTCATACATCAGCGCATCCTTCATCACTTCCATGGCCACAGCGTGTGTGATCCTCACCACAGCCTGATGGGACGTGCTGTCATCTCCGTTTCCAGAGTGAGAACGTGGCGGCCCAGAGAGGCTCAGCTGGTTCCCTGAGGCTGCACAGCTCTTCTGGGGGATCCTGGGAATAGAATGCGGTGCTGCGGCTCCTGCAGCGCGTTTCAGAGAAAGCAGAGGGTAGGGCCCACCTTCTTCTCAGACCCTTCCAGTCACTGCCCTGTGGCCTGTCCTCTGAGTGTCAGTGTTGCTTTGGGGATCGTAAGAGAAATGTGTCAGTTATGCAGGCAGAAAAAGAATCTTCACCTCCTCTGTTTAACTTTGGGCAGCAAAGAAATGCCAGCCCCTGACTTGGGCCCCCACCGTGGCCACGATCCGGGGAGGGGGATGTGGTGTTGACTCAAAGTGAAGCCTCAACCCCTGAGTTTGAAAATCCGTCCTTCCAGGCACCTCAGGTTCTTACTGCACCTTCCACAACACCCCCGGACGGGGCCCTGGGGACTCTGCAGGGTCCCGTGTTCACCTGCTGGGCTGTCCTGTGGACCCAGAGCTCACACAGTGCCCACTCCTCCCACACCCCAAGGCTTGAGCTTCCTTGGGAAGATGGGACGGGGGGGAGTCTTGGTGCCCGATGTCCCCAGGGCCCCTCACCATCTCAGGGCCCATGTGATCCTCCCAAGAGAGCCAGGCAGCGGGGTTCCCTGCAACGTCTGAGGAAACCGAGGCCCCAAGTGAGTGGGCGGCAGGTACGGGCCAGATCCTCGGCGTCCCCCTTGTCTCCTGTGACTCTGAGTCCATCAGGGCAGGAGGCCACAGCCAGAGGCTCCGACACCGAGAAACGCTCTGGCTTCCATGAGGTCGTGCACGCGGGTAGAAAACCCGAGTGTGACGGTGGGTCAGCAGTGAGAGGTGCGTCCCCTCCTGTCCCCTGGCCTGTCCACCTCTCCCCAGAGGCTGCTCGCTGGTCTCCTTTGAGGGCCCGGCGACTGTCTTGTCCAGATGTCCTGTGATGTGGTCAGACTATTTTGACATCAAGACAAAGTGTTTCAGAGACAGGACCACTCTCCAGAGACTCCTTTTCAAGGAGATCATTTAACACTGATCCTCAGAGGGCCGGTGTGGAGCTGACCAAGCCACCAGAGGTCACAGGAGGGCTGAGGCCTTGAGGCGCCCAGGCCTGGAGCCGGGAGCAGGCTTCCCTCTGGGTCCTGGAGCAGATCTCCCACAGGCTGGGCAGGCTCGGCCAGAGGGGCACAGGAGCCGCCTGTGCTAATGTATCTTCCCCTGCCCCCTTTTATCCTAGCAATCTGCAAAATGCAGTGTCCTGGTCAGGAGCGCTTTCTCCTGACCACCCTCTGGAGGGGAGGGTCAGTGGGTGGAAAGGGACCCTTTGCTGTCTCTTCTCCCCCCTCCCTTCCCTGCAGGGGAGCAGAGGGAGGTGCTGTGCTCAGGGAGCTGATCGGACAGAGGCCTGGGCATATGCTGCTTTTCCAGCAGCCGGAAGGGCGTTGTTTTCAGATACAGAATCAGATTCATAACAGATCTGCCCTAAAATGCATGTGTGTGTGTGTGTGTGTGTGCGCGTGTTAGTTATCTCTTTGTTTAGACTCTAAATTCCTGGAGCCTAGGGGCTGTTCTGTGTCCTCAACGCTTAGCGCACATTTCTTTGTACACGTCAGGCATAAATGAATAAATGAATGAACGTGTCGGAGGAGACCGGAGCAAAGCTAATAAAATTTCCTGCTGTCACCTTCTGCAGGTTTTCCTCTTCTGATCTGTATCATTTCAATAGTCTTTGCCATGGACAGTTACGGAACAAGTAAGAAGTAAGTGAAGGGGTGATCCCTGTGTGGGCAGGACTCCCCTGGGGAGGGGCACGGTGAGGGTCCCCATGGCTCCTTGTCTTGCTGTGTTCTTCTCGGGGAGGGGTCTGTCCAAGGCTGGTATCCTCCAGCCCTGGCAGTAAAAAAGGCCTGATAGAGTGAGAAACACCCCTGGCGGTGCTCTGGGCTTCGTCCCACCTTGGAACTAGCATCGAGAGGGTCAGAGTGCCTCCTGCACTGGGTGGCCCGGATGAGTCTCTGATGGGAGCTTTTCATCCATGTGGCTGTCCTGGACACACAGCCTGGTCGCCTGTGGAGCCCTGTTTTGTGCTGACCCTTTCTTGGGGTGGTCAGCAAGTGCCTCGTACATAAGAAGTCCCGTTAAATTACAGCCGAGTGAATACGTGACTGTGTGAATAAGTGTAGTCTGATGTGCACCCGCAAGGGGGCGTTCTCATCGCTGGGGCAGCAGCAGACGGGACTGTGTATGTGCCAGACCTCGTGCCGCTATTTTGAAACTGCAGCTGGTGGGTCCCTAGTTGAATCAGGAAGAGGCTGGGTTGGGACTGTGCAACCAGGTCAGGTGTTCACCTTCCAGAAATTTGAATTCCTTTCCTCCCAAAGAGAAAAAGGCTTTAGGTCATCTGTCTTTAGGGAGCTGCCCCTCTCCTCAGCCAAGCTGAAGAACCACTGAGTGACAATGCCACGGAGAGATTTTAAGAGGAGAGGGAGGGAGTTCAACATTGTTCCGGCTTCAGCCTGAGATAATTTCTCAGCTGAGCTGCTAAACCGGGAGGAACCTGGCTTTTTCTACTTTAGGACTACAATTTCCTGAAGATGAAGCACTTAAGGAAAGCGCTCTCTGAGTCCATACTGAAGTAAGAACGATTAAACATCCATTGTTCTGGCCCATTCCTTGCAAGCCTGCGTGTATCCGAAGCCAAGGCACTAATTAAAAGAAGAAGCTTCTCCTCAGACACATCTCAGTGGCACTTGTTCCGTGTCTTTCCATCTGGGAGCACAGATGCTGGGCCGCCCACGGTGCGTCTCAGCTCCACGGTCTGTTTGTGATGTCAGCCTCTCACCCACTCATGTGCCCGAGAGCGAGGCAGCCCCAGCAAAGGTCCCGAAGCTCCCTGAGTGTCTGGGAAGGACCGGGGATCTGAAGGTCCTCACCCACTTAACCTTCTGCACGAAAATGGTGGAAAGCACAAGCTTCCTCTTGCAGAATCCCCACCCTCTCAGGGAGCCTGGGTTGGAGCTGCCCCTTTGCAGAGGGACCACCAGACTCACCGTGTGTTTCCATGTTAAGTGCCGCGTCCTCAGACGGGAGGCTCTTTTCTCCAGGCTCTGGGTTCCAGACGGGAACGAGCCTCTTACAGGCGCTGTCACCTGTCTGGGGCATTTCGTGTCTCCTGGTCCAGGAGGTCTCGGGGGAGGACGCGGGCAGCAAGGCAGGGCGCAGGCGTGGACTCGGGTCCCCGAACGTCCCTGGACCTCAGCTTCCTCCTGTGCAGGGTGGGGTCATCACAGCGCCTGCCTCAGGGGCGCCGTGGGGTTACGGGGGGCGGTGCTGTGCTGTCAGGGGGCTGCGCTGGGTGAGCAGGCGTGAGTGAGTGTCCAGGCGGCCCTGCAGGGACGTCCACGTCCTGCGTCCGTGAGGATGCACCGTGCGCCTCACCAGACCCTGGCGGGTGTGCCAGGCCCCCGGGGCTGCCCCCAGATCCAGGGAGGTGACGTGTCCCAGGGACCCCGGGCTCTTGGTGGTTCTGATGCTCTGGAGAGGAAGATGGTAGTCCTGCCTGAGTTCCTGGAATCATGTCTCGTAAGCCAGGAGCACTTTCATATCCTCATACTGGACCCTACTTCCCAGATGAGGCTTCTCTGGAAATCAGAGCTGTGGCTGGGATCCATCGGGACCTTTCTCCTCGGCTGTGGAGCGGGGCCGGGGGACGGCACTGGTGGCCTTTCTCCTCGGCTGTGGAGCGGGGCCGGGGGACAGCGCTGGTGGCCTTTCTCCTCGGCTGTGGAGCGGGGCCGGGGGACGGCGCTGGTGGCCTTTCTCCTCGGCTGTGGAGCGGGGCCGGGGGACGGCGCTGATGGCCTTTCTCCTCGGCTGTGGAGCGGGGCCGGGGGACGGCACTGGTGGCCTTTCTCCTCGGCTGTGGAGCGGGGCCGGGGGACGGCGCTGGTGGCCTTTCTCCTCGGCTGTGGAGCGGGGCCGGGGGACGGCACTGGCGCCTCCTCACTCCTTGAATCCCTGCAGCAGACTCTAGTGAAGTCAGTGTTTGAAATGCCCTGGAAGGAAGCCGGCCCCTGGCAAAAGCCCACTTATTTATTTCTCGTAATAAAATTCAAGCCTCCTTTGGATTTTGGCTGGACTCTTCAGAGATTGCGAATTTTCCCACTAACCAGGTGACCTGTAAAAGCCTTCTTTTCCCCGAGCCAGCCTACAGACCTGGAACATTCTTCCCAAGAGCGGGAGGCGTGAGGTCATGGACAGGATACAGACACATTTGTAGGGGTTAACAATGTCATTGTGACTGCGCCCCACGGTGTCCCTGTACTGTCCTGGACGCAGGGCCCTTGGGACGTGGGATGATGCACTGGAGTAACCCTCTGCCCCCTTCCACAGTTGCTGGCTGTCGCTCGGGAATGGTGCCATCTGGGCCTTCGTAGCTCCTGCTCTGTTCATCATCGTGGTACGTCCTCTGCCGTGTGGGCGCGGAGCTGGGCTGGGGAGGGGCCGGAGTGGAGGAAGCCCTGGGCTTTGTAGAGGTGCAGCTGGGCCATCTGAGAGCACGTCCTAAGCTGGGGCAGCATGGGTCTTGTTACAGCCCCTCAAGGGGGTGTGACCCAGAGCCTCCTTTCCCCGAATGATACTCAGGAAGGTTGGGCAGGTTTTCAGGTTTAATGCAGATCTGTTTAAGGCCCTCGGTGCTTTTCATGCTGAAGCAGCAGGTGTGGGTGTGTGTCCAGGAGGGGCAGTGCAGACCCAGCTGGTTCTTTTCTTTCCCGATGCTCTTCCATGATTTCCTCACATGCACATCTCCGTGGTCAAGGAGATGCAGGATCCAGGGCTCTGTTAGGGAGTTTTCGTCAGAGCCTCCCGAGAACCACACGCAACAGAATTCCTGTGATAATGAGGGACCTACTCAGAGAGGGTGACAGAATTGGGGATCTCTAAGCTCACAGTCAGGAACGTTTGCCGTGGCTGTGCATCTGGAGTTCAGACGAGGCCGTCTCCACGTGGTTCTGGTGCCCCACTTCTCAGCTCTGTTTTCCTATCAGTTGGCTCCATTCTTAGATAGGTTGCCCCAGATGCTGCTAAGAAACTCTAGGACCACACAGAATTATAATAACTGCCATGGGGAAAAAAATCCTCCTTTGTTGTTCTTGTTATTGTTCTACCGACACGTCCCACCAAATCCTGGGATCGGTTCATCATTTCTGATGGGCCTGGCTTGGAACTCTGTCCACCATGGGCCCCTCGCTGAGGCCAGAGGAGCAGAATGCTCTGATTGGCCAGAGGAACGGAATGTTCTGATTGGCCAGCCCTCACTGTGGCCAGAAGAATGAAATGCTCTGATTGGCCAAAGGACTGGAACGCCTTGATTGGCCAGGCCTGGGCCACAGCTCTAACCCTGGGTCCTTATACTTGGTTTCCCATGAAGTTATTTAACGTTAATAATAAAGCTCAAATTTATAGAGCATCTTTTTTTTTTTTTTTAAGATCTGAATGTGTTTTTACATTAAATTTCTCTCTTACTTGCCCCTAAATTAGCTGCTTGGAGAGATGGTAATTTCTGTTATTACAGAGGGGCAAATTAAGGTGCAGGGAATAAGTAGAATGAGAAAATCCTGGCCCGTGATGGTAACTGTACTAGTTTAGGTGTCCCCTTCCTCTCCTCCCCCACATCCTTCCACTCGCTCTCTTCCTTTTGTTCTCTCTCCTCCCCCTTCTCCCCAGGTGCTAGTAAACCAGCTTGAGTGCCCTTGAGTAGAAAAGGCTCAGCCCTGGGAAACAGGGGAATCAGGCATGGCTGGTTCCAGGCGCTCAGTGATGTCCACAGGTATCTCCTACTCACCCCATGGTCCCATTGCCTCCTTGCTGGCTCCATCTCAGGCAGGATTTCCTGGGCGGGGGGGACATGATGGAGCTGGTACCCTGACACATCCTCCAGCTCTGCAGTTCAGGGTAAGGAGGGAGGCACTGTTCCCAGCAGTCCCAGCAGAAGTCCCAGGGCAGATTCTGATTGGCTCCCATGGGTCAGGTGTCTGTTCCAGAGCCAATCACTGAGGCTGGGGTGGAGGCAGACGATTGGTCAGGCCCAAATCACATGACTATCCAGGGGCAGGGTTTATTATTATATCCCCCTGAACTCTTGGGGCTAGAGGTGGGGATCTCACCCTGGGAGAGGGGGGTGCCAGTACCTGGGTGCTGAGCCTGTCTGGGGTCTGGTCAGAGGTGAGGCATCGCCATGCTGTCCCAGTCTGGGCATCTCTCCCCACAGGTGTTGGGGGCTGACATCAGGGCACCCCCCATCCCTCCTGTCCACCTTGTGCAAATCCACAAAACACACTGTCCACACCCTTGGCTGGGACCCTAGAACATGGTCTCCACGCACCCCCAGGGTGGGAGCCAGGCCATGCTCACTGCCTCTGAGGGTGCTGCCTTTGAAGGGTGTTGAGCCCCCAGGTGAGCCTGGTCCTGAAGGTGAGGGAAAGGACTCCAGCCAGAGACACTTGAGCCTTTGGTCTCCTCATCCGTCGCCTCCCCCGTCGGGCGTCCCGGCTGTGGTGGCGCATGAACTGTCCTCCCCATCCTAAGGGCAGATCCAACGTTGTTCTGTGTCACCGAGGACGGCTGCCGGAGGATGGGCTTATTTGGAGAGGGTCTGTGGATGGCCCTGAAGCCCACCGCTCCTGCATCCCCTCCATGTGGATCTTTCCTAAATACTGTGAAGCCAGCCCTTCTTTCACTCACCCCCCTGCTCCCTTCCCCAATGGCTGATTTGAAAGCTTCTTTTGACTTTGTATCAAATTCGGTGGCACTGACTGAAGCCGTGGGCCCTGGTGGTTAATTAAAAACGTATCCAAGGGAAGACGCCTAAAGATGTGGCTTTTTCCTCCTTAATTAAAATTCCACTCAGACACCCTCAGGCCACACAGAGGTGCAGCAGCATCTTCTTGGTAGAGGGTTTCCCGAAGGGCAGAGTTGGGGGCATCATCGTGCTGTCGTCGTCTGTTTGGGACATGAGGGAGGGCGGTGGCGCCAGCCCCACACACGCCCCCCCCCACCCCGTTCAGGCTGCGTTGACTCCGCTCCGCTCCCCTCCATGCTGGTCCCCTGACAGGTGACGTGTGCTCAGGGGCGTCCACGGCCACGGGGACAAGCGGGAGACGGGGCATTCCCTCCCTGACGTGCTGGCTCTGCGAGCCTCCTGGGTCCCCGTGGCCCCAGCCCCCGGGCCTCTGTGCCAGAGGAGAGGCGGGGCTGTGCTCCCAGCTCTGCAGGGCTCGTGGGCCCACCGGGCTCTCTGTAGGGTCCGTGCAGGGCCCTGGTGGGAGGCGTGGGCGACAGGGAGACGGGGACCTTGCGGACGTCAGCTGGGTGCCCCTCCCATGCCACTCCCCTCCTGTTCTCAGTGTCCCCGGGGGGCCGGTCCGGATGGAAACAGACCAGGCTCAGAGGGAGGGAGGAGACGGGGGCCAGGAGTGCACCCTCCGATCCCTCGCGCAGGGCAGCGGGTGCACGGTGCTCCGTCCCCCACAGGCCACACTCCTGTTGGCAGCACTGGCCGCAGGGTCCCTGAGGCTGCCCTCCGCCCTCAGCCCTTCTGTGTCACAGGAGCTGGGGTCCCCGGCACCCCGTGAGCCCTGGCCGTCTCTCCGGTTGCTGGCTCCCTTGTGGTGCTTGGGATGTTTCCTTCTGTGTCCATCACAGACGGTTAGAATCACACGCTGTGTCACCTCTGCGTGGGAAGGGGGACTGCAGTCTTTGCCAGTCCAGGGCGATGGCACAGCAGTTCTGTAAAGGAGACCTCCTCCAGGAAGGACAGTGGTCTCAGGGCGTCCGTCCTTGGCGTTAACCCCGAGCTCTGAGTCCAGGCCCGGGTCCTTCCATCACCTGCGGGAGGTGGTGCATTGTCACGGTGACACGTCCCTGAGCTCTCCCTCCAGGCTGTGCCCTGTCCCAGGGTTGCGTGAGGGCCATCTGCAGTCACTTTCCCACCCGGCCTTTCACAGGGTGACAGAGGCTCCCGTGAGCGACCCCGAGGCGCCCTCCCTTCCGGCCCCTGGGGTCCGGGAGGACCACTCGCCTCGTCACCCAGACGGAGGCTCGGGCTCAGACCCGACTCCAGTCCCCCCGCCAGTTCAACCCTCCCGGTCAGAGCGCGGGCAGTGGCAGGGGTGGAAGGGGAGTAAGTGAGTGTGGAAGGCCTCGCCCTGCTGTGTCTCTGTGCTGACTTAACCCCCCAGGTCTGCAGGGCCCGGCAGCATCGCCCCCTCCCAGACTCCCCGGCTGAGCTGTTTCCTCTGACTTTGGTCAGTGATGGCGGGGGATCTGAGGCGGCCCTGCCTGGATCCTTCCCTACCACCCACCACAGCAAGGGGTCCAGCAGCAGGGTCCCCACATCCCATGTCCTCCAGGCTCGCTGGAGCCTTGCTGTCCTTCCAGAGGGGGCGTTACCTCCGCCCCGCCCCAGCCCCTCTCCTTGACATCAGCTGTGCACCTGCGAGGACTGCAGTTCTCACACTTGTTACTAATGGAATCTCTGGGGAGCTTGGGAACGGTTCCTGCCTGAGCCCCACCCGGGAGGTTCTGGGTTTACTGGACCTTTCAGAGCTCCCGGTGATTCCGGTGTGGAGCTGGCTTGCAGTCCGAGGTGGGCTGTGGGAAGTTGGAGAGCCCTGGGCTGGGGGGAGGGGATGTCCGCTGAAAACGGTCAAGTGCAGGGTCAGCTGGCTGCGGCTCATGTGGTAAACCCCGCGCAGGTGCCAGGCACTTATTTACAAACTGCGGCGGCTGTCACGCTGCAGCCGTTGAGTTTAGCTGTTACAGTAGAGACTGGGAGGCCTGAAAAGCCAAAAATGTTTGCTCCCTGGACCTTGAGAGAAAAAGCATGCAGACCCCAGGCCAGGGGATGCGGCAGAGGGGTCCTGAGACCCAGCCTCTCCGACTGTCAGGGCTCAGGCTGGCCGGGGGCAGAAGTGTCCTGTGTTTCTCATTTCCTCTGAGGACCCTGGGTTGTGCCATGTTGAGTCGTGCCCCGTTGTTCCCAGAGGCACTCCGAAGACAGCAGGTTTCAGCATCACATGTAGGGCCCGGCCCTATTGTGTAACTTGCGCAAAGCTCTGTTCGGGCGCATGTTCACGTGAGCACGTCCATGGGAAAGAAATGTCTGGATGGATGCACCCAGGATAGCGTTCTCCAGAGAGGGGTTTGTGTCCGGGGGTACTTCCTTGCACATCCCATCCATTTAAAAACACCCACACGTCACGAGCATCATTTTAAACTAAAACACTTTGGAAAGGTGCATGTTCGTGTAGGGGTGTGCGGTTTTGCTGTGTCCTGGTGAGGTTGGTCCTGGAGGGACAGGAACCTGTGGGACAGGATTGTCACCGTGGCGCCTGGTGGGCCCAGTGCTGGGAGGGAAAGGGCAGAACCGGGCCCCTTCCGGTTCTCAGCTTACCTGTCACCCCACTGCCAAATATGCACCCACCACCTGTCCCTTCACATACTGTTCTCCCCGATTATGAAGGGACATGGATGCCATTTCCTGGGCGACTCCAGTGAGGCTGAGTGCAAAAGTGCCCACGGGGCAGGCAGGTCTTACAGAAGCAGGGACGCCATGGGCCACAGGGGCCACCTTAGCCTGAGCCCCCCCAGGGGGCTTGTTCCGTGCTGGCACCACCCGGGAAAAAGACCTCCAAGTCCGGGAAGAGAAAGAGTCTAGAGTTTTAAAATCCTACTCTCACCTGGGGAGAAGCCAAGCTAGTTGTGTGTCTCTACAAATACAGGTACATAAATAAAGATACATAGATACAGGTCCAGTTACCAATTCCTAAGAACAGATATGGACATGGGTACAATTACAATGATAGTTACGGACATAAAGATACAGAACCATAAATACCCATATGGACATAGAAACAGGTATAGATACCTGTTTCTAAGTGGCCCTGAGTCCGGTCAAGAAACAGAGCGTGGTCCCAACCCCAGAGCCCTGCCCATCCGTTCCCTCCCCCCCAGCAAAAATCCCCATGGTCTTGAGTGTGTCCTCCCTCCACCCCTCCGCTCCTTTTTTTTTTTTTGCTGAAATGCGGCCTGTGAATTATTGGTTTGACATCTGTCATAAGTAGCTTGTTGGCTCTTCTAACGCGGAGATACTTAGTTGATGCAATACCCCACATTCACGTTACAAACGCCTCACCCCAGGGCCTTTCCCAGTTTGCACCAGGCACAAGCCAGGGCGAGTGAAATGGAGTGCGGGGGCCAGGCCCGCTTCTGGTTTGTATTTTCATGAAACGCCAGATTTGTTTCACCCTCAGCTGCTGTCTCCCACTTAATTGCGCATTAATGTAGGCTCGGAGGTTAGCCTGCACCTTCTCTCATGCTGCCGTGGCCAACGTGATTGTCTTACCAACGCGGGGGGAAGCGTGCATGCCAAATGAAATCAGACAGGCCCCCGGCTGAAAGAGGGAGAGGGGAAATAAATCCCAGCAAAAGCTTCGGAGACATGGGCATGATAATGAATTGTAACAGCCAATCACGTGGGCAGCTTAAACATTATTGAAACGCTTCCTTCCGGGTCTTAAATACAGAGGCCAAGAAATAACAAAAGACCTGAATCACTTGTAGCATTTCTATGTCTGTGAAACAGTTTGCCGTAATCTGATCATCCATTCAGCGGCCACATCACAGCGTCTGGGAACAGCAGTGTGAATCGCCTGGCGTCACACCTGAGAGGTCTAGGGCAGAATCCCGGGTCAGCCTCCGGCCAGCAAAGGGGGAGGTGGTTGTGATGAGACCTCTGGGGTCACGTGGGGTGTTCAGGCTCCTCCCCAGAGGCTGCCTGGCATCCGTCTCCCGGGTCCCAGGCTCTGTGGCTTCTCCATCCCCTTCCCTGAATTATTGGGACACTTCACAGTTAAGCCTGTTTTCCTCCTGAGCCCAAGGTCATAACTGAGACATTCACAGGAAAAAGGATTGATGTTATTTCCCTTTTATAGTGTAATTAAGCAATTTGATTTTTGAACATTAACACACATGGTTAAAAATTTGAAAGCAAAGCTTAGTAATGTATATATTTGAGCAGTCTCTGCCCACGTCTCTCTCTTAAGTCCCTGGTTTCCACCCGCCCCCCCAAACAGACAACCCCTGATGCTAACTTCTTGTGTATCCTTGGAGTGCTCTGAAGATATAGGCAAATATAAATATATATTCACCTCATTCTGTGCCTTTTCCGCACACACAGTGTGTGCTGGACCTCCGGCTTTATCCGCACAGGAAGAGCCGCCTTGGTCCGTGATGCATCCACAGAGTAGGCTGCCCACAGTAGCCCCCGAACCTGCTCCCTGTTGGAAACAATTCAAGTGTTTCCAGTCTTTTCTGGTTACAAACAAGGCTTCAGCTTTGGCCAGCGGGTGAGGAACCCAGGATATAAATTCCCAAAGCGAAAGAGGCAGGACTTACAGGATGGCACACGGAGGACCTCAGTAAATGTTCTCCCTCTAGAATACAAAAAAGCTACTGGAAGAATTATATGTGGAAAAACCCCAAACATTTCAGAACTCTAGAAATCAACCACAGGCTGAAAAGCCTTTAATCACGAAAAATCGCTGAATCTTGGTGAGAGCAGCAGGGACTGTGGCTTCTGATCGGCCACTGGGGCCCCGCGTCCCAGCTCCGTGACACAGCTATTGTCACTGGAGGTGAGGACGGGCTTACGGGCGCGTGGGTGCAGCGCCTGTGTGACCTCAGAGCAAGCTATTCGCAGACTTCACTGGACCTCGGCATCTGGAATAGACATCCCCATGCTTAAAAGCGCCAACCAGTTAGTCCCCTGGCTTCGGTCACTGAGCCGCTTGAATGGCAAAGTCCCTGCGTTGTCACACCAATAGCCTGGCGTCCGTGCTGGCCCTCCCCTTTCTTGTCTGCGGAGTGAGGCCTTCCTGTGGCGCTAACGCGGTCAGCCAGTGCGGGCCGGGGAGGCCTGGAGGGCGCTGGTGTCCCCATCTGCCGGCTTCTCCTGTGTGCCCTGACCTCGGAAGACCTCCAGCGTCATCCTCACTTTACAGGCGAGAAAACGGGGCCAACGAGGCAGCCTGTCAGAAGCCAAGCTGCCGGGTGCGGAGGTGGTCAGCGAAGACAGGGGCCCCACTGACAGCATGTGTTCTGTGTTTGCTCTAAAGACTAATGATGAAAGCTTTACTCACTTACAGTGATGGTATAAGCAAGGGGCTAAGCGGGCAGAGGTGCCAGCTTCCCAGTACCCCCTCCCGCGGAGCCGCGCGGGCAGGGGTGCCAGCTTCCCAGTACCCCCTCCCGCGGAGCCGCGCGGGCAGGGGTGCCTCGCTGCTGAGCGGGTTCTGAGGGAGAGGCTGCTCCTGAGCCTTGGACCTGGGAGCTGGGTACTGAGGCAGCTCGCGGAGAGGTGTCTGCAAGGCCCCTGAGATAAGGGGTATCAGCAGAGATGCTTTGGAAAGGCCTCAGGCTGGGCCCCCAGAAGGAGGCCTCTAACGAGGGCGTTCAGGCCAGGAACGCAGATATGTGTGCGGCGTGTCCGGCCGGGGCAGGAGGGGCCTGAGTCCCCTTCAGAGCCGGGAACGCTCTGCTGTGGCCCAGGTCTTGTGTGGGGAGGGCCACTTTCCCTGTGTGGCCTGCCAGGAACGCCTTTGTCCTTGCCTGTGCTCAGGCCTGAAGGTTCACACGTGGCCGGGAGCGGGACTCCTCACCGACTCTGTAAATGACCTCAGAAGTTTTCAGATACAAGGGAGAGGTCCCGTCACAGCACAGCCCCAAATCCAGCTGTGGACCCTGTAGCGGAAGGACATGGCGGGGCCTCACTTCCCCTGCTGTCACCTGCCTGGTCAGGCTCCTGTTCAGGACCCTGGAGAGCTGCCCATGGGAGGGGACACTTTGTGCCAGAGCCTCTGCCAGAGACATTCACAGCCCCGGCCTGGCCCCCAGCCCCCAAGGGGAGCCTCTCAGCCCCCAGCCCCCAAGGGGAGCCTCCCAGCCCCCAGCCCCCAAGGGGAGCCTCCCAGCCCCCGGCCCCAGCCCCTCCCCAACAGGGAGGAAGCGTCGGGCTGAAGACGAAGCATCCCATGCTGTGGCCTCTGTGGACGCACAGCCGTGGGCCTGGGGTGTGGGCAGGAGGTGAGAGCAGGCTGTGCTCCGGCGCTCAGATTGCACCGTGGGCGTTCCTACTCTGTCTCATTAAGTGGAAAAACTGAGGTTCGGAGGACTTCAGTACGTTACCCAGGGCCACACCCAGGGAGCACATGGTGAAAGGAGGCTGGAAGCAGCTCTGTCCGGTTCTGAGGTTCACAGCCTCCTTGCCCTGGTGGCGAGCAGAGGAATGCTTTCTTCAGTGTGCTCCTGGGGACTCGGCCTGGGGTGTTTGGCCGTCTTTTCTCGGGAGCACAGATGTGGGCTCCCAGAAGGCGGTCTTGCAGGTGACCTGTGCAGGTAAAAGTTCAGGGACGCGGCTTCGATTTCTCCCAGAGACGCCGTCTGTTTGCCTGGGAAGCCTGGCTGGGGGCTGGGCCGGGTGGACTCGGATGCCTTGCAGGTGTGGCTCCGGCCCTCACCTTGTCTCCCGTTCTCCTCACGCAGGTCAACATGGGCATCCTCATCGCGGTGACCAGGGTCATTTCACAGATCAGCGCCGACAACTACAAGATACGTGGAGATCCCAGCGCCTTCAAGTAAGCGGCACCCTGGGCTGTCAGCCATGCCCCTTGCCCACAGAGGATGCTCGCGGGTGGCAGGAGGGCGGGTCACACCCTTGGGCTTGCCTGGTGTCCTCATGACGTGCATCCTCATTGGTCTCTGTGACCAGCACCAGCTCGCTGCCCCCATTTGTGAAAGAAGGGGGTCTATTAGATGTTCTCCCAGAGACTGGTTCACTCCTAGGGTGAGAGGAGCTGGCGGTGGGGTCCAGAGGAGGGTTCTGGAGCCCGACCGCCCTGCCTGGGTCAGTCCTGCCTCAGCCCTACCATCTGCTGGGACCTTGTGAGCTATTCAACCCCTCAACGCCCTGATTTCCTCGTCTGCGCGGCAAGGGTGATGGCCGCCATCTTACAGGTTGTCCTGAGGAGGGTGGAACTTCCTGACCTGCTCTGGGGCTGGTTCATCCTCCAAAGGAGCAGGTGTCTCTGAATGGGGGGCGTTCCACCCACACACTCACTGCCTTCTGGGGTTTCTCCACCCCATTGTCGGGGCTCTGCCAATTGCAAGTGACAGAAAACCCAACACAAACTGGCTAAAGCACAAGGTGTACCTATCGACACAGGCAACCATAAGTCCAGGAATGAGTCTAAAATGGCTTGGTCCAGCGCATCAAATAATACCGCCAGGGCCCAGCTCCTCCCGGACTTCTCAGCTCCATGCCCTCTGTCGGCTTCACGCTGAGACGGACTCTGCCTCCTGGTGACCAAATGGCTGCAACAGGAGGTTCAAGTCCATGGGAAAGTGTGTCTCTTTCCCCAGTAATCAGAGGTCCTGAGCCTGGAGACCGAGACTCAGACCAGACCGCATGCCCATCCACAAATCAGTCCCAGTGGATGGAAATCACCAGTTAACCCTGGCCTGAGTCACACGGTCCATCCTGGCTCTGGGGTGCAGTCAGCACCCCCGAACCACTGGGCCAGGAAGTGGGGGCAGCGGCCCCTCAAAGGGAATTTAGGGGCTGCTATAGAAACAGGGTGCAGTTCCTAGGCAGCTGACATTCTGTAAGTTACTTTATCTACGCTATATCTCTTCCGATCTGAAAGGGAAAACAGTAAACATGTCAGCAGCAAATCGATAAGACAATTATTCTGTAATGAATTCCAGACACTGTAAATTAACCTGACAAGTGGCTCCGGCCCCCTCGGGCTTTTTCAGCCCCTGGAAACCTTCGAGATGCTCCTAGGTCAGGGTCAGTTCCCTTCCTCGTCCATCAGCGAGAACAGGCAGTGCTGCCCTGTGAGGCCGCCAGTCCCCCAGCCCCGGGGCCCTGGCTGGGAAGGAGCCTGACCCTCCCTCACCCCAACCTCAGCCCCCAGGCCCTCCCCTCGGTGCGCAGGGCCCCGTCTGACCCGGCACCCTGCAGGACCACTGGCCTCGCGGCACCCAGAGCAGCCTGGATCTCACTCCACACCCGCTCCCCCGTCTCTGCACCACCCCCCCCTTCACGCACCGCGGCCCCGAAAGGCAGCTGAGCCCACGACCCATCTGCCCTCCGTGGGGACCTGGTCCCCAAGTGGAGGCTGACACGGGGGAGGTAGGGGCCGTGCATCGCGGGGGCGTTTCCGCGTCTCTGCAGAAGCAGGGCTGGGGCGCTGCCGCTGTGCCCTCCTGTGTCCTGCACGTGACCCGGCGCCCAGGACCGACCTCCTGGAGAGTCTGGCTCGTGCCTCTGGACAGACCCCCGACTCTCCCCGCCCAGCACGCTCCCTGCCCTGCCTCTTCTTCACGTGGCCGAGCGGGACCCTGGGTCACTGCCTCACTCCCTTCCTAGCATCCCCTCCCTGGGCTGGTGAAGCAGGAGCCCCGGGAGCCGGGCGGGAAGACGCAGCACAGCCTCTTTGGAACACTTCTGGCTCCCCCTCTCCTGGTTTCAATCTAGTCCTTTCCTTCCTGCCCAGCAGCTCAGCGCTCAGTGACTTAACGCATGAGATGCTTCCTCAGGAGCCTTAACAGGGCTGCCTTCCACCTGCTTTCTCTCCTCTATTTACTGGTCACGATTCCAGGCTCCCCAGAAAGCAGAGGACATCCAGTTTTCCCAAGTGAGATCCGGGTCCTGGGGGCGGGAGGCAGGTGGATGCCGGCCCCCGGGGAGCAGGGGGGTGGGCACCGGGGCGCCTTATGCGTCCAGACGGCGTCCTCCACCTGCCCAGGCCTCCTCTCCTGCAGGGACCCCGCTCCTTCTGCCTTTGACAAGGGGACCTGGCTGCTCTGGCTGTGTTAACAAGTCCTCAGAGGGCCTCAACTAGAGGAGTTTCCTCCAAGATTTTATCATTTATTGCTTCATTTTTGAAGTAAAAATGAACCATGTCTTTAAAAGTAACACATTGATACCAACTTCTCAGCAGCTGTTCCTTTCAATGACGGATTTTCCAGGATCTAAAGATCGACTCTAAATCAGTCATGATATTTTGTTCCCCAGATTCAGGTGTCTGATTTTAACTGTATTGACTTTATGAAAACATGCAGCCGCAGCTTCCCTGAGAGATGCCGTGTGGGAGCACATCTTTGGTTTTCTAGGGCTTTGCTGCTAGGAGCTGTCCATGCCGGGACCTTGGGCTTCTGACCAGGGGGCTCCTTAGGGCCACTGCGCCTCCTCCTGGGGGGCTGGATCCCTGAGTGGCACCGTTGGCTCGTCCTTCATCCATTCCGTGGCCTCTTCCTCATCTTGCCCGCTGGTCCTGGTGCTGTGCTGGCTTTGGGACTGCAGAGATACAGAGCGCAGCCTTCAGAGGACTCGCCGTCTAGTGAGGGAGACCGTGCGGGTTGCAGCGCCGAGGGACCAGGGCCTTGGAGGTTGCTTAGCTGGGCAGCATGGCACCCATCCGTCTCTGGACTTCTCTCTCACGCTTACGTGCAGAAACCACCCTGTGGAGAGCTGAGCTGTCTGAGTCGGGGTAGGCCGGGCCCCAGTTAGCGTACGACGATTTGCAGCACGTATCAGAGGCGGCCAGGACTCAGACAGCCCCTGGGGCGTTGCCTCCACACCGGCTCTGTTCTGGGCTCTGCGGACACTGGGGGACCCAGATCCTTCTCCTCTCGGAACTCACATTCCACGGGAGAGCCTCAAGGCTGAGGCAGCAGGTGCCCCGGCGCTGGGTGTGTCTCCTCGGCTGTGCTCTGCTCCGTGGGCACCTGGCATCAGCATTCCCCCTCAGCATCACCACCAGTTGGATTGGGGCGGTCAGCCTGAGTGTGCCCAGAGGATGCGCTGGCTCCCGGAAGCCCAGTGCCAGCTGCAGTCCAGCAGAAGCAGAGCTGTCTGCTTGGCCCAGAGCTGGCCTTGCAGGGACCCTGTCTTGTGCGTCCGGGTAGTCAGCTCCTGACCCAAGGCCTCCTGCAGGGAGGAGCCAGGTCTCGCTCGCAGCAGGGCCTTTTCTGCTCCCGCTGGAAGCGTCGCATCTGGGCCCGCCCTGCCCGCCCAGCCTCCCTGTTCCTCTTGCAGGTTGACAGCGAAAGCTGTGGCCGTGCTGCTGCCCATCCTGGGAACCTCGTGGGTCTTCGGCGTGCTCGCTGTCAACAACCAGGCTGTGGTCTTTCAGTACATGTTTGCCGTACTCAACTCCTTACAGGTGAGGGCCCGATGGGACTAGCGGCTTTGTGAGTGGACGTGTGGAGCAGGGTGCCTCTGAGGCAGGAGGGAGACCCTGTGCTCCGTCCCCTCCACATGCACGCACCTCGTGGACCCCTAGCGTGGAGGGTCCCCAAGGCCTGAGGACACAGGCATGGATGGGGCGTGCACCAGGGTCTCTGAGCAAATGGGCTATGCAGGACCCCATTCACAGCAGGGCTGCCTCGTCCTCCTGGACAGTGTCTGTGGAGGGGCACCCAGGCCTGAAAGGAAGACGGTCAGCACGTGGGCAGCTCCTGCAAGGGAGCCAGGCGTGGAGAGGTGGTGATGGGGATACCTTGGGCTCTGAGTTCTCATCTGCTCTCTGCGTGGAAGGACAGCAAGGGTAACAGCCTGGAAACCAGAGACTTGAGAGCCCAGAGTCTGAGTCCCCAGAGCCACAAGCCCCCAGAGGAAGGGTGGAGGCGGGCGCCCGTGGCCATACACGGCCTACGCCACCGAGCCAAAGGCTCAATCCACCCCGGCCCTCACCGTGGTGTCCTTGCTGCTTCTGGGTCTTCACAGCCAGTGACGGTGTCAGGCTTCTAATTTGTAAGAAGCCCCCGTGCATAGTTTCCTTCCTTCTGGCTGTTTATAACGAGAGGGGGTCGGCTGTCCTGGCCGCAGCCCTACACACCCCAGGTTCTGGGATCCTCACTTATCCTCTGTGTCCCATAAAGTTTCCCCTTCCGGAACATGGGAACAATGACAGGACCCACTTTGCGGGGGCTGCTTGTTAGCACTAAGCGAGGTGACTCACGTGAAGTGTTCGTCTAGTGCGGACACACGGGCAGAGTCTCTAGACGTCTGCGGATATCCTCAGCTTGTGTCTGTTCTCACTGTGGCCGTCATCCTCAGTTTGCAGGTGAGGACACCAGGACTCGCGCTAGGTGACGCGCTCGTGCCCTCCCATTTGTCTGCCCCAGCGTGTTTGCTCCTCTCTGAGGTTAAGCCTGTCTGGGCGTCCACCTGTCTTTGTATCCACCTGTCTTTGTATCAGGCCATGGCGGCTGCCTGCGTTTAGGTTAGATCACAGGATGCCCTTCCACGCTTACGGACTCCAGACCGTAGGGTCCAGCATCACAGCGCACGCCCACATGCTCCCCAACACCAAGCCGTGCCAATGCCACTCTCAGAGCCCATAGGTGGCATTGGAAAGAACCCTCAGAAAGTGTTTGTAACAAAATGCAAGTGGCTCTAATTCTGTGTTTTCCTCCCCTTCCTCGCCAGGGATTTTTCATCTTCCTTTTTCATTGTCTCCTGAATTCAGAGGTATGTCTACTCCACTTCGTGACAGTATGAAGCTGGTTTTTCATTTCTGAAAGGGCACAGAGAGCAGGAACAGTGTTGCCGCATCAGGCTGGTGTCCGGGAATGTAACCCTGAATAAGCCTTGGTGTTGGTGACAGGTTGTGTGCAGGGAGGCTGCTTTCCGTCCCTCATCCCGGTTGCTAAGCAAAATACGCACATCGTCCTTCACTGAGGTCACACGGGCACTGCTGGCTGTGTGGAGGACTTCACTGAGGTCACACGGGCACTGCTGGCTGTGTGGAGGACTTTACTGAGGTCACACGGGCACTGCTGGCTGTGTGGAGGACCAGGGGAGGTGGTGACAGGGTGGAAGAGCTGAGCTGGAGATTCAGGACCTTGCTTGGCATCTGGCATATTAGGGAGAGTAAGATGCAGATGTGCTCCCAGCAGATCCTCCCCAGAGGCATTCAGGAAGCTGGCCTGGGGTGTAAGGAGGAGTCCTGACTGCAGGGGTTAGAGAGGGGACTTTTATGATGTGGCCTCCAAGGGCATTGGGGTACCTGGAGTGGGCTCATTCCTCTTGGTGCAGTCTGGGGCATTGCACCTGCTGTGCACTTGGCCGTGGGGATGGTGGAGGGTGCTCTAGATCCTGTCGCTCGGGACCCATAGTCCGTGGGAGAAGTTTTACCTGTGAATTGTGGGGGTGGCATTGTGTTCCTTGGCATTTGAGTCCCTTCCAGGCTGTGGTCCTGGGGAAATGCCTCTGGAACGGTGACTGAGAACAGGGCAGAAGCACCACCCGCCTCTGTGCTTTTCCAGGAGAGTCCACCCGTTTGCACGAGGATAGGTCAGGCGGGGAGGGAGGAGATGGGGGAGGGGCAGGCAGGGTGAGTCGCCCAGGACGATGGCGGCCAGCGGAGGAGAGGTCACGTGTTTGCAAAGACCAGGTAGCAGCCCAAGCAGGGCCTGAGACTGATCCACGTGGCAGAGGGGGCAGGAGGGGGCGGCAGCCTCAGCACCACACGCGGCCCCGCCCCACGCGTGCGCTTCGTCATTTACTGCCTTGTGTGGTTTCTGTGCCGGTCACACGCTCGGCCCCCAGGCCGTTCACCGTCGAGTGTGTCCCGTCTCCCCACCCAGCACTGTGAGGTCGGCAAAGGGCAGGCCAGGTCCAGCTTTCTCCCCGTGCAGGGCTGGGAACGGCGCGGGGACACAGCCTGTATCTGTCACACGAACCAGTGACACGTCCGTAGCGCAGCTCCGGAACCACTGACTCTGTTTGGATCTGATGCCTCCGAGTCCTGTCCTCACCCTGCAGCACAAATTCCTCGGGACCTTTTAGAATGACCTCTTGTTGCTTTTGCAACTTCTGAAATTGCTTCTAATGAGCCTTTCATTCTGCCTTTGAAGGTGAGAGCTGCTTTCAAGCATAAAACCAAGGTCTGGTCCCTCACGAGCAGCTCCACCCGCCAGGCCAACGTGAAGCCCTTCAACTCGGACATCGTGAGTGCATGTGGTGTCTCGTGTACGCCCCTCCTGCGCTGGCCGATCCTGCTCTGGGTGCCTTCCGTCCTCATTCCACACTGACCCAGGCCTCTTGTTCTCGGTCCTCATCAGCCGGGACTTGCTTCACTAAGCTGCGCGCAGCCTCTGCCTTACAGAGGACCACGTGGTCCTGAGGCTGCGTCTCTTACAGCCCGAGCCCCAGGCCCTCTGCTCACTCCTTCCCCGAGCTCCAGCGCCTGCACCATCAGTGTCGGGCGGACGGCTGCCCAGGTCGGGGTGATGGAGGCTCGACTCGGGGGCTGGGCTTTTCACACCTGACATAGGACTGCAGGCGGTGTGAGCTGATGTCACACCCACAACAGGGTCCCCCTCCTCACGAAGTCACCTGGCCCCCTCTCCTGCCCCGTTTCCCAGGGCCAGTACTTCTTATGTTGACTTAGTGGGATGGAAGGATCAATTGACCGGGGGGCAGACACTGGACATGCTGAGGGTGTCCTATAAGAGGCACAAAAGTCACTGGACACAGCCCGGCCTCTACATCAGGTCTCCTCCCCCTACAGGTGCCTGAGAAATTGGGTCTGGATGGTCAGGGGTCTGAACAAGCCGCTCACCTCCCAGCGCTGGGCTTGGTTCACCTTCCTCCTGTGGGAAGTGGTCCCTCATCCCCCCGCCCTGCAGACCCCCAGGCAGGGCCCCCGGGCAGCCTGGAGAAGGCGATATCCTGGGTTCTCACTGCACTGCAGCCTCCCACCTGTCAGCTAGGCCCTCGCTCAGGGGTCCCTTCTCAGGAAGTCCCTCCTGGACGGCACTGAACAGAGGTGCTCCCACCGCACTCCAGCGTCCTGTGCCTGCTACCCTTGGCAGTTGTTTGCTTTATTCATTTGCTTCACGGCCGTTGTCTGCCTCCCCCATTGGAACGCGAGCTCTCCGGGGGCAAGGGTCTGGTCGGCTTTGTTCACTGGTGTGACCCCGTAGCCTAGAACAGGCCCCGGTGCCCAGCCTGCTCGATAAATCAGTGTCGAAGGAGTGAGTGAATAAACGGATGAATAAAGGCGTGAATGAGTGAATGAATGAATGAGTGAACGACAGATTGATGAATGAATGACTGCCTGGGTGAGTGCACCCCAGAACCTGGGAGCCATGAGGCAGGGGAACCTGTGCAGAGAAGGTGGAGAGAACTGCGCCCTCTGGGTCCTCATTTCTCTGGGGAGCGGTGGGGCCGCCCCCAGGCAACTTTCTGGCACAAGGCTTTGCTCTCAGCACTCCTGTGGGACTTGGGTTTCTCGTCTCAGAGCAGTCTCCGTTTCTCCATCCTCTGTGTGGTCTGCAGATGAACGGGACCCGGCCTGGTACAGGCTCCACCAAGCTCACCCCTTGGGACAAGAGCAGCCACACCGGGCACCGCGTGGACCTGTCCGCCGTGTGAGCAGAGAGGCCGTGGACCCGGCAGCCTGCCGCTCAGAACCCCCGGACCCGCTGCAGACAACACGCAAGCATCGCTCCGCCTTCGCAACTGGGACCCTTTCCTCGTCGCTCTCTGGACCTGGGGGTCACGGCCCTCCCCCCCGCCCCCCGTGACAGCATCCTCTCCTGCGACCTGCTCCTGTGACAGAGCCCACCGCTGAGCCCGCAGCCTGATACACGGCGAGGCACGGGCCCCCCGGAGCACACAGCGGTCCCTCCCCTTTGTCACTGCAAGTGTGCAGAGCCCCAGACCTTCCACACTGTGCGCACAGGAGGCCCATGGCACCAGGAGGGAAGTTTAGCCTTGGCGGGCGCCACGATGGGGACTTGGGACCAGAGAGGTGGGGTCCCGCAGGGGAGGTTGGGCGGAGGCCCGTGGGGGCGCGTGGGGAAGTGCCCGAGGATGTTTTCCACCTGCTGACTCCACCCAAAGCAGGGCCCCGATGCCAGGCACCTGCTGACGCCCAGGTGCCCCGCCCCTGTCTGTGCGCCGGGGCCTCGCATAGGCGGAGAGCCTGGGTTGGGGCGGTTCTGCTCTGACAGCTTCTCCCCCCTTCTTCGTGAGTTGCTGGCTCTTCCGACTCCAAGTCAGCCTTCAGATCGCCCCCTTTCCTGGCACCTGAGCCTCCTGTGTGTTCACCACGTGGCCCATCAGAGCCACCGTTTCCCAAGGCATAACGTCCCGCAGAGAGTTTCTTCCTCATCACTTATAAATGCTTTTCCGTGTTTCTAGCGAGCGGATCACAGCGGAGGGGAGCGCAGTACGTGATTTCACGTCGCCACAGGGGCAGACCTTGACGCACAGAGCCACTTGGCGGGCTGCTCCGGGGGAGGACCCTGGCCCTGACCGACCCGGGGTGGGAAGGGTGGCAATAGCTGTAGCTTCTGAGTTGATGTTAATTTATGGACCCGGACTCAGCCCCCTAGGAAATGGGATGATCCTTGGGGCTCCGTGTGTGGGCGGGACCCCGTGGAACGCTAGGGTTCGATCATAGACGTGAACCGAAACGCCATCGAGAAAAGCTGGGAAACAGGCTGTGAAAGGTCACCCTGTGATGACAGCACCAAGAGTGCTTGTGAGATGTGTGGGTACGGAATTCCAACCTGTTTTCGATACTGGAAAATCTTCCCTGAAAACTGTGACGGCGACAGCATTAAAGGCCTCCCCACAGCGTCGCCCCGCCTCTCCCAACACGTCTGCTTTGTTTCCGAGTGAGATTTTACATCGTCTTGCGGACCTTTTCCATCTTCCTCCGGCACCTTCGTGAAGTAACTCACGCCTTGATGATCACGAGTGTGACAGCCATCTTCAGGCATCTCCCCCGGTGGGGGGTGGGGGGACCGGGAGGGGGGTGGGACACAGAGCGGCGTGTTGACGCAGGGTTAACCTCTGTCCTTCGGTCCGGGTGGGTCCCAGATGTCACGTTGTGACAATGCCACGGGCATTCCCCATGGGTGTGCCGTAGGGGTGAACCTGGCAGATGGAGGCAGAGACCCCGTGTCTGGCGAAAAGTGCGCCCAGGTCTGCTCCAGGCTCTCTTCGTGATTCCAGAGACCAGATCGCTTGTAACTTGGCGTTAGATCCTTGTCAGGCCCAAGAGCACCGAGAAGTGAGAACACTGTATCCCTAAGATTTACACTTGGATTCTTTTTTCTTATTTAGTTTCTGGTGAAGCAAATCAAGTAAGGAACTGTTTTTATTTTAGATGGAATTCTTGGTTTTGTTGTTTTTTTAACTCCCTGCATATTCGCCCTACATAGCTAATATATCAGGAGAAGTAATGCGCGAACTCTTTACTTCTAAAGAATGAGAGCAGTGCACTTTATTTATAGGCTACATATTTTGGCTTCTGCAGTATTTTATTATCTACACATAATTTGGCCAAAGAGAAGCAGTTGGGGACAAGAGTGTGTTTAAAGTAGTTTATAGCACAGGAAAGACGATGAATGCCACTACATAGTGAAAATATGTTGTGATTTTTATGAAATAAAATCTTAATGTCCTTAAAGTGTGGTCTTTAGCGTCTTTTGCTAGTGGGAGGTGAGCAGGACAGTGGGTCTCACGACAAAAATCTGAAGAGAAACACACGTGGGTAAAATCCAACCCTGGGATTCACTCAGCAGACATTTATTCAGTGCTTTCTATGTGCCCAGCACATTCCAGCTCTTGGGACACTGTGATGGGCAATGCCTTGCCCTCTCAGGAGCCTCCCTGGGTGGGGCAGGTACTGGGGTTTGTGCAGCCCTGTGTCTCCCCAGGTTAATGTACTGGACAGAATACTGGTGCTTCTTTTTTTAAAAAAAATTTAACAATATATTTTATTTAAGCTAATGTGTCAAAAATATTTCAACACGTAACATTAAAACTTGTTGAGCTATTTTACATTCTTTTTTCTATACTAAGTCTTTAAATCTGGTTTATTATTTTTTAAAGTCTTTAAAAAATGTTTACATCTGTGACTCTATTCCTGTTTTGTAAAGAAGTTCATTTGTACCATTATCTTAGATTCCATGAGAAATAGAGTCACAGATGTAGAAAACACACTTAACGGTTACCACAGGGGAAAAGGTGGGGAGGGGGGAGGATAAATTGGGAGATTGGGGTTGACATATCCACACTATCATGTATAAAACAGATAAGGACCTACCGCACAGCACAGGGAACTCTGCTCAATACTCTGTAATGGCCTATATGGGAAAAGAATCTAAAAAAGAGTGGATCTATGTATATGTATAAGTGACTCACTTTGCTGTACAGCAGAAACTAACACAACATTGTAAATCAACTCTGCTCCAATAAAAAGAAAGAGAAAAGAAATGCTTATGAAACTAAAAAATAATTTTTTTAAGTTTATACTCCATATATATAGCTAGTGCAAAATATTGGCTCTATTCCCCATGGTGTGCAGTACACCCTTGAGTCTATCTTACACCCAATAGTTTGTACCTCCCCCTCCGCTGCATTGCTTCCCCCTCCACTGGTAACCACTAGTGTGTCCTCTGTTGAAACAGGGAGTGGGTTGGTGGTGACAGAGGTGGGGGGTCGGGTGGTGGGCAAGATGGGTGAAGGGGATCAAAAGGTACAAACTTCTAGTTATAAAATAAGTCCTGGTGCTATAATGTACAACGTGGCAACTACAGTTAATAGCACCGTCTTGCATATTTGAAAGTTGCGAAGAGAGAAGATCTTAGACGTTCTCAGCACGGGAAGAAAACACTTGTGTAGCTGTGCCATCCATCACCATCATGTACGGTGGTGGATGTCAACTAGACTTACCGTGGTGATGGTTTTGCAGTGTATACAAGTATCAAGTCATTATGGTGCACACCTAAATATACTACGATACCTCTTGGTATCCCTTACAATTTTCTCTCTTGTCATTAAAAGCTAAACATATCTGTGTTGGGTGTTAGAAGCGGAGGTAAATAGGACTTTCGTGTGAGGAGTTATGTTCATCTGACCGGGAGCTGGGCTCTGTAGACTGTTTGCTGCAGCTGTAGGTGTCTGAGGCTCCAACTTCCTGTTTTTCCTTCTCTACCCTTGACTTTGGACTTTCCCTGTGGACTGTACTCATAGAGTCTGCAGCTTGCAGCCCTTTCAGCCTAATCTGTTAATATACCAGCTCCTTTTCTGCTGTGGTGTTAACATGGGTGGTAGGAGAAGTGTTCTGTAACATTATGGTAAATCTGCATCTTTTCGTGGGTCTGTGTCTAGGGTGGTGACCCTCAGAAGTGTTTCTCTAGTGATAAAGCATTTCCCCCCTCTTTGGGGAGACAGGAAGCCCAGAGGGGCTGGGAAGTCAGGAATGCCCTTCCCCCAGATGGAATACGGCTTTGATAAAGCACATCCCGTGCAAAGCAGGGTAGCTGTTGATAATAGGATGGGAGCGAGCTATGGCTGCCAGCTCTCTCCTGTCACTTCACCGAGGTGCACTGTGGCTACAATGAAAGTACTTTCTCCCCTCCAGTCCCTTAACCTCTTTAGACTCAGAAGACCGAGGACGGAGAAGCCAGTGGGCAGGTTCTCAGGTGCAGTTCCCAGGGCTCTGATCGCCCCTCCTGGATACTTTGGTGCTACATATACCCCCGAACATGGACTTATCTCTGGAGAAAAGGTGGAAAGGGGGTGCGGAATCCCCAGATTATCCAAGGTTAAGTTGCCGCCCTGGCAGGATGGAATCTGAAACAGAAGGGGTCGGTTTCTTCATGTCAGTGTGAATTTTGAGTCCCTTTCACTTCTGTCGGAGGTTTTATTCCGTAAAACGAGTAAGCCCTGCAGTTGCAGTAGCTCTAATTCTGTTCTCCGAACAGCAGAGGGGAACAGGTGCAGTAGACACGGGGTCTCCATCCAAGACCCCACCTTGTTCCTTGTTGAGAGAACACTGAATCTCCTGGATGACTCAGGGAAGGGTGACCCAACACCAGTGCAGGGGCAAACCCTGACTGGTCTAAGATGGCCTTCATGGTCCCATTCTTCTTCCCGGGGAGGCATCTCAGCCATGATGTGTGAGGGAACACCAGTGTCTGCTCAGGAAGTGTGGAACCACGGTGTGACATGGGGGAGCCAGGCCACAGCTACCCCCCAAGGATAGGTGTGGGAAGGATGGAGACAGCTGGGACCCCTGGTTGTGGACAGAGCAGCTTTGTGGACGGCCCTGGAGGTGCAGCTGGGAGAGAAGCCAGCAGAGCTCCCTGTTGCTCACAGCTGGGCCCCCGGATGTCCCCGAGCAGCAGGAAGGGCCTTGTGTGCTTCTTGCTTGGGGCTGAGGGAGGTTGCAATCCGGGGGGACACCACCCAGATGCTGCCTTGGCATCTCCCCAAGCCCATGTGGGACTATTCCTTCACCTCTGACAGGCATCCTTGGAGGAGATTTAATCAAGAAGAGTAATGGACCTAATGGAGTCTGTCCAGATAAATGAGCTAATGGCCTGACTGCTGCATTCTGTGTAGCTTGTTCACATAAATGGATACTCTGGAACCTCCTCTGCTTCAAGCTGTGTTTGTCAGTTAAACAGCAAACAGTCCTGGCCCCAGTTTCTGTCTCTGGTTTTACAGATTTCCCGAGTTTTGAGAGATTTTTCTTCACTAAGTGTATTGACTTTCTCCCTTCTCTCCCTGCTGGGTCCTATAGGTGGACGCTGCACAGACTCTTTCCACGTGGCGTGGGGAGCATTGGGGCACACAGAATGCTCACACCTGGCCCTGGTGGGAGAATCACTCTGACTTGCCCAGCACTCATCCCAGGACACAGGCTGTGGCTGCCGTGGCTCTGTGTGAAGCTTGTCCCCAAGCTTGGAGGTAACTAGAGAAGTTCGAGAGAGTAGAGTCAGATAAGGACGGTGGCCTGCCTGTCTCAGGCAGCTGGAATGTAGATGTGGGGGCTGGAGCTCAAGCAGCCATTTTGGAACATGAGGAAGAATCAGATATCGAGGAGTTCCTAGAAGCAAGAGAGAGGAGCTATCTTCCCTTATGACTGAATGATGACGCCAGCCCTGGACCACACTTCTCCACACTTGGGTTTTGTGCGAGAGAGTAGCTTGTCTCACGTGAGCTCCTGTGGACTGAGGTCTGCAGCCGCTCACAGCAGACTTGGCCCACCCGATGCAGCCACAATGGATGCATTTCTGTCCCCTGTGCTGTGCTGACTGGACAGAGCAGCTGCCCTCCGGCTCCTCGGAGAACAACGTGCTCACGAGTCCCCTGGGGCTGCTTGCACTGCAGATGTGCTGATTCCTGGGCCGGGGCTGGGGCCTGGGATTCTGCATTCCCCACATCTCAGGGGATGCCAGGCTGCAGCTCCCTGACCACGCGTGGGGCCTAGAACTCCTCTGCCTCACGGGTCTCGGCCTGGGTGCTCTCACCTGCCCCACGCAGGGCAGCTCCTGCCCAGCTGTGCCCAGGACAGCAGCAGCTGCAGAAGAGCCGTCGGCAGAGAGGATGTGCATGTGATGGGCCGGGGGAGCAGGGCCTCTGCAGTGATGTGGGTCGTAGAGGAAACACTCGCCTCCCCTCCCCTGCAACCTTCCTTCCACAGCAGGAAGCTGGGGCATCGTTGTGACATCAGAGGCCCAGGAAGGGTCCAGAGGACGAGTTAACAGTTTCATGCTTTTCTTAATCCTCGAAGCAGGTTTTCTGAGCCATTTGCCGGGTTTTCAGAGTGGTTCCCCTTCTGTCTTCCAAAGGTTGGTTAGAAATCGGGGGCTGCAGCCCAGGAGCCCCGATTACGTCACTCACACCTGAGGACGCTCAACGCCCTTCCCGACCGTGGGTCTGCCTGGACTCACAGGGTCACTCTCCCTCCAGCCCCGCCCGTCCTCCCTGGGGTCCCTGCAC